GTAGACAGCATATATATGGGTCTTGTTTGTTTATCCACTCAGCCATTTTGTGTCTTTTGGTTGGAGCATTTAATCCATTTACATTTAAGGTAGTTATCAATATGTATGTCCCTATTACCATTTTCTTAATTGTATTGGGTTTGTTATTGTAGGCCTTTTCCTTCTGTCTTGTTTCCTGCCTAGAGAAGTTCCTTTAGCATTTGTTGTAAAGTTGGTTTTGTGGTGCTTAATTCTCTTAGCTTTTGCTTGTCTGTAAAGGTTCTAATTTTGCTGTTGAATCTGAATGAGATCCTTGCTGGGTAGAGTAATCTTGGTTGTAGGTTCTTCCCTTTCATCACTTTAAATATGTCCTGCCACTCCCTTCTGGCTTGCAGAGTTTCTGCTGAAAGATCAGCTGTTAACCTTATGGGGATTCCCTTGTATGTTATTTGCTGTTTTTCCCTTGCTGCTTTTAATATTTTTTCTTTGTATTTAATTTTTGACAGTTTGAGTAATATGTGTCTTGATGTGTTTCTCCTGGATTTATCCTGTATGAGACTCTCTGTACTTCCTGGATTTGACTGACTGTTTCTTTTCCCATGTTAGGGAAGTTTTCAACAATAATCTCTTCAAATATTTTCTCAGACCCTTTCTTTCTCTCTTCTTCTTCTGTGACCCCTATAATTTAAATGTTGGTGCATTTACTGTTGTCCCAGAGGTTTCTGAGACTGTCCTGAGTTCTTTTCATTCTTTTTTCTTTATTCTGCTCTGCAGTAGTTATTTCCACTATTTTATCTTCCAGGTCACTTATCCATTCTTCTGCCTCAGTTATTCTGCTATTGATTCCTTCTAGAGAATTTTTAATTACATGTATTGTGTTGTTCATCATTGTTTGTTTGCTCTTTAGTTCTTCGAGGTCCTTGTTAAACGTTTCTTGTCTTTTCTCCATACTATTTACAAGATTTTGGATCATCTTCACTGTCATTACTCTGAATTCTTTTTCAGGTAGACTGCCTATTTCCTCTTCATTTGTTTGATATGATGGGTTTTTGTTTTTGTTTGTTTTTTTTTGCGGTACGCGGGCCTCTCACTGTTGTGGCCTCTCCCGTTGAGGAGCACAGGCTCCGGACACGCAGGCTCAGCGGCCATGGCTCACGAGCCCAGCCGCTCCGCGGTATCTTGGATCTTCCCGGACCGGGACATGAACCCGTGTCCCCTGCATCGGCAGGTGGACTCTCAACCACTGCACCACCAGGGAAGCCCGGTCTGATGGGTTTTTACCTTGCTCCTTCATCTGCTGTGTGTTTCTCTGTCTTCTCATTTTGCTTAACTTACTGTGTTTGGAGGTCTCCTTTTCACAGGCTGCAGGTTCGTAGTTCCCGTTATTTTTGCTGTCTACCCCCAGTGGGTAAAGATGGTTCAGTGCTTTGTATAGGGTTCCTGGTAGAGGGGACTTGTGCCTGTGTTCTGGTGGATGAGGCTGGATCCTGTCTTTGTGGTGGGCAGGACTGCATCTGATGGTGTGTTTTGGGGTGCCTGTGACCTTATTATGATTTTAGGCAGCCTCTCTGCTAACGGGTTGGGTTGTGTTCCTGTCTTGCTAGTTATTTGGCATAGGGTGTCCAGCACTGTAGCTTTCTGGTCATTGAGTGGAGCTGGGTCTTAGCATTGAGATGGAGATCTCTGGGAAGAGTTTTCGCCGTTTGATATTATGTGGAGCTAGGAGGTATCTTGTGGACCAGTGTCCTGAATTTGGCTCTCCCACCTCAGAGGCACAGGCCTTACACCCGGCCAGGGCACCAAGACCCTCTCAGCCACACGGCTCAGAAGAAAAAGGAGAAAAAAGAAAGGAAGGAAGGAAGGGAGGGCGGGAAGGAGGGAGGGAGGGAAAGAAAGAAAGAGAGCAACCAAACCAAAAAACAAATCTACCAATAATAACAAGTGCTAAAAACTATACTAAAAAAAAACCCCGGAGCTTCCCTGGTGGCACAGTGGTTGAGGGTTTGCCTGCCGATGCAGGGGACACGGATTCGTGCCCCTGTCTGGGAAGATCCCACATGCCGCAGAGCGGCTGGGCCCGTGAGCCATGGCCGCTGAGCCTGCGCGTCTGGAGCCTGTGCTCCGCAACGGGAGAGGCCACAACAGTGAGAGGCCCGCATACCGAAAAAAAAGAAAAAAAAAAAACAACCCTGACAGACAGATCCCTAGGACAAATGGTAAAAGCAAAGCTATACGGACAAAAATTACACAAAGAAGCATACACATACACACTGACAAAAAGAGAAAAAGGAAAAATATATATCTTTTGGGAAGTCTGAGGTCTTCTGCCAGCATTCAGTAGGTGTTCTGTAGGAGTTGTTCCACATGTAGATGTATTTCTGATGTATTTTGGGGGAGGAAGTTGATCTCCACGTCTTACTCCTCTACCACCTTGTCTAATATCTTTACTGGTTTTTGTATCAGGGTGATGCTGGCCTCATATAATGAGTTCAGAAGTGTTCCTTTCTCTTCAATATTTTGGGGTAGTTTGAGAAAGATAGGTGTTACTTGTTCTTTAAATTTTTGGTAGAATTGACCTATGAAGCCACCTTGTCCTGGACTTTTGTTTGTTGGGAGTTTTTTTAGTTTGTTTGGTTCTTTTACTGATTCAATTTTATTACTGGTAATTAGTCTGTTCATATTTTCTATTTCTTCTTCATTCGGTCTTGAAAGAGTATACGTTTCTAGGACTTTATCCATTTCTTCTAGGTTGTCCATTTTATTGGCGTATAATTGTATTGTTTTCCATTCTCGTGACAGGTAGACACCTCGGATATTAACAGGTTTTCACTCCTCTGAGCAGAACTTCCGTGAACATTTGTATACAAGTGTTTTCATGAATGTGTTTTTATTTCTCTAAGGCAAATAGTAGGAATGGAATTGCTGAGTCATAGGTTATGTGTATTTAGTTTTATGAGAAACTGATAACTTTTTCCAGTGTGGTTTTACGGTTCTACAGTCCATCAACAAGTATGAGAGTTTGGTTACTCCTTATCCTTGTCAACATTTGCAGTTGTCAGTCTATTTAGTTTCAGTCATTCTGGTGGATTTATTATGCTACCTCATTGTGGTTTCCATTTGCAGCTTCCTGATAACTCATGATGTACCTTTAAATTTAATTTAAATTTTATTTAAATTTAGAGTCATTTTGACCTTCTTGTGAAATACAAGGAGGTTGCCCTTAGTGATTTTCCTACTTTTAAGATACTCTGCCTAGTCTTCTATGCTGGGTGAGCTCCTAGAGCCATGTGGCACAGTCATGCTTGGTAGGTGACTATGATAGGGTGGGTGGATGAAGTCCACTTCCTGTGGTGCATGCTGTTCACAACCTTAGGTAGACAGCGTTCTACAATAAATATCCCAGGAAAGGTAATTTCCAATAACAACATTCACAGTCTCCATGTTTCATAGTAACAGTCCCTGGAATGACTAAAACATGCTTTTCAGTAGAATATGAAAGTTCTTTACAGCTTTTGTGAAATAGTTTGAAACAGAAACCCAATCTTCTAAAGACTAGATTCAGAATAAGTATTGATATAGTTTAAATTACCATGTAACTGGCATGTAAGTAACCTCCCATCTTACTTGTCTAAATGGAGGATGATTCTCAAAAGCACTGTATCAGTGCTTCTTAATATTTCTCTTGTGGCTTCTGATTAAGCAACAACAAGCTACGTGTAGGTTTTAAATTTTAATTAAAGAGAATCTAAATTATTTGGGTCTTATAATAACTTACTTCCCAAAGATCTGGGGGAAGGGGAGGGCAAAGGGGTAGCTGAGATATGGGAAACCCTAACTGTGAATTAACTCCTTAGTTAATTCTAAGTTCTAAAGACGGAAGTTTCATGGAGGGTTAGGGGGACAAAATCACCCCAAAAGGCAGAGTTGCATGATGAAAAGCTCCAAGAGTTTTTGAGGGAGATTTGGGTGTTTTGAGTCTGTTTGTGCCTAAATCTCTTAACTCCCATGTGCCTCAGTTTCCTCATTTGCCATATGGGGAAGATGGAAATTACTTCCTGCTGACGAAAGTCACCATCTCTGTGACACACTCTACCCTGCGCTTGTCCACACCCCTCTCACTGCCCTCTGGGGCTCCTCTTCCCTTCAATACGGGCATCCCCTGAGACAACACTGAGCTTGAACGTGTTCTGCCTCTGTGACCTTGAGCAGGTTACTGAATCTTGAAGAGCCTCAGATTCTCCCAACTGTACATTGGTTAATTGTAGTATCCACATCACAGAATTATTGAGATTTTTGAATAATTCACAGCAATAGTTAGCAATAAATACATAATGTATTTGAGAAATATTATTCATTGCCAAGTACTTTGTGACAGATATATTTGACTACTACTATTCATTTATAATCACTGTTATAACAAATGTCCAACAATGTTGGGTAAATTATTATAAACCTACTTCATGAAAATTACATAGCTGTTAATGAAGGAAGACTATGTAAAATATTAAACACTATTTTAATACAATAGTAAGTGGTATAAATTATTAGGTATAAAATAAGCTACAAGGATATATTGTACAACACAGGGAATATAGCCAATATTTTATAATAACTAAATGGAGCATAACCTTTAAAAATTGTGAATCATTATATTGTACACCTGTAACATATAATATTGTACATCAAGTACCCTTCAATAAAAATTTTTTTTAAAAGCTAAATAAAATATTCTTTAAAAGATTAAAAAAGTCGTAAGTGGAAAAAGCAGTAAACCAAATTATCCTTATATCACAAGGATGACCACATAGAATAACTAGATCCAAGCATTCATCCAAAAAATAGCGAGAAGAGGCACAAAATACAGCAAGTAAGGGATGCAATGGGATGATTATGTGTACTTACACTACTTATCTTTCGGGAGGAAATTCTTTTTGAAAAAACAAACCCTGTCTATTTCTTTCAAATTGAAATTCGTTGGTGAGGACAAAGTAATAATGATGGTCACTGTGTTTTTCCTTCAGTTTCCTGGCGTTTAACACGGACACAGTCGGTAATCTTGCCTTTCTGTTGAAAGCAGTCAGTTTTCATGAAAGGGTTCTTCAGCGGGGTTTGGTGGCCCGGATTTATTATAAGGTAAAGATACATTGTGTTATATTTTTCCTTTTGGTGTTTAAGGCATATTCTTGCTGGTGAACTATCTGCTAATGTAATACAGGATGAGTCAGCGTAATTACAAGCTTCTGGAAATGGCTAGAATTCCTACAAGCCATTTTGCATGACAGCCTTGCTCGCTTTGGAGGCCCTGATGCTAGTGATTATCTCTTGTGCAGCATCTTTTAGAATTTTACCTGCAAGTGTCGTTTGGCTGCCGTGGGAGTTGATGAGTGGGGTAATTTTTAACCCTTATTGGAATTGAAGAGTCATTGTCTGTATGTAATAACGAATACATTGTTTTCTTGGTGGGGGGGGTGCATCAGGCACGTGTGAAAATTAACCATTGAATTAGCCTGAGATGCACTCTATTTCCTATTAAAATGCCCATGACGTTCTGCAAAAACATAAAATCTCTTATCAGCATTGATAAGAAATCTAGAGGGAATTTGCACCAAGTACTATACCAATGGGGTTGGTTTGAGGAAACACCCCCGCCCCAGCAATATCTGTTTCATCTCCTAATCCCAACATGGAATAGACAACAAGACCCCAAGAGAAGGCTTTACTTATCCCACTTTCTACCCAGGCTCAGGACCTCAGGGCTACCACAACCTGAAATCAGACCACGGCTCCCCCTCTGCAAAGGAATTATGTTCCAAGAGGACCAGAATTGGGTCCCATGAAACTCTCCCCCTTCAGTTTGTCTCTTTTTATATTGATTCCAAGATTACATCTCCCAGTACAACACAGAGCGGGAGGAGGATGAATGGCACATGGGGATGGGTAGTCTCTTCAGAAATGCTCTGCGGCAGAAGAGCCTTGGGAGCAGAAATGGTCAAAATCCACCCTGTGAAACAGAGAGACTGATGAGTACCTGCTGGAAGTTGGGCCAGGTTTGTGCAAACCACTCCATCCTTCAGTTGTAGATCTGAGGAGAGTTCCTGCCAGATGCCCAGGACACATCCAGGTGGGTTTAAGTCTCTCCACATTCCCTGCCTTATCAAACATGGAGCCAGCCAAAGTAAGAGAAGGATGCAATCAAAGGCAAAGATGCACTTATAAGCAGAACTAACAATGGAGAAAATGTAATCTATGAACTAGCTTTCCAAGACTGTAGAAGTAAAGGATAAAGATGTAATGGCATGGGGACTTCCCTGGTGATGCAGTGGTTAAGAATCCGCCTGCCAATGCAGGGGACACGGGTTTGAGCCCTGGTCTGGGAAGATTCCACATGCCGTGGGTCAACTAAGCCCGTGTGCCACATCTGCTGAGCCTGTGCTCTAGAGCCTGTGAGCTACAACTACTGAGCCTGCGCGCCTAGAGCCCATGCTCTGCAACAAGAGAAGCCACCACAATGAGAAGCCCGTGTACCACAGTGAAGATTAGCCCCCGCCCGCTGCAACTAGGGAAAGCCCGCGCGCAGCAGTGAAGACCCAACACAGCTAAAAATAAATTAATTAATTTAAAAAAGTGATGAAATGGCATGAGATGATAATCAACACAGAGTGAAAATAGTAGAAATGCAACCTATGGATAAGAAATATTCCTGAAATATTCCTGAAAATGCTGGAACAAAAGGAGCAGAAATATAATAACCAACAGAAAAGAATTATATTTTTCTTAGTGTAAAAAAAATCAAGATTTTAATAGAATAAAAACCATACTTGGATATAGCTTGCAAATGCAGAGTAAAGAGAATTTCATTAAAGCAACCAGACAGAAAATAATAGTTTACCAACAAATGGAAAAAACAAGCTTAACTTAAATCTTTATTCACCATCTCCAAATGGAATAAGACCTGCTCCTCTAAAGAGGAAACTCATGATCTAAGCATACCATTCCAAACCAAATTTAATTCATGAGTACAAGCAGTGGAAAGATATCTTCAGAAATCTAAGAATCAGAAGCAATTTCACTCCCATGGCCTTCCTTAAAACTTATTCACAGACCTACTCAATAGGACATGAAAAAGAATTAAAAGTAATAACTTGAAAATAAGGAAGTCAAGATATAAAAGTATCGATGGTCCATATGAATCAGCCTACGAATAATTAATGTGTTTTAAAAAATTAGTTCCAGAGTTAAATACATAAGCTAAAAAATGTTTTTGGAAAAAAACCATGAATTAAAAAAAAACCTTTGTGTCATTGGTTCTATAATAGAATGGTTCCTAAAATATTTTAAGGTAAGATAAAAAAAACTAAAGTAAAGTAAAAACATGCTCAATTTCTTACTTTAATTGCAGGGTAGGCAAAAGCATTGTTTTTTTTGATCATTAGAGAAAAACATAGGTTAAAATATATGTTTCATTACATTAAAAGTCAACATGATTTCCTTCCGATTTAGGTTACCACAGAGCATTGAGTGGAGTTCCCTGTGCTATACAGTATGTTCTCAATAGTTATCTATTTTATACATAGTATCAATAGTGTATATATGACAATCACAATCTCCCAATTCATCCTACCCCCCCTTCCTCCTTGGTATCCATACGTTTGTTCTCTTTATCTGTGCCTCTATTTCTGCTTTGTAAATAAGATAGTCTACATCAACTTTTTCAGATTCCACATATATGTTAATATATGATATTTGTTTTTCTTTTTCTGACTTACTTCACTCTGTATGACAGTGTCTAGGTCCATCCACGTCTCTACAAATGACCCAATTTCGTTCCTTTTTATGGTTGACTAATATTCCACTGTATCTATATATACCACATCTTCTTTATCCATTCCTCTCTTTTTTTTTTTGTTTTTGTTTTTGTTTGTTTTTTTTTGCGGTACGTGGGCCTCTCACTGTTGTGGTCTCTCCCGTTGCGGAGCACAGGCTCCCAACGCGCAAGCTCGGTAGCCATGGGTCACGGGCCCAGCCGCTCCGCGGCATGTGGGATCTACCCAGACCAGGGCTCAAACCCGTGTCCCCTGCATTGGCAGGCAGACTCTCAACCACTGCACCACCAGGGAAGCCCTATCCATTCCTCTCTTGATGGACATTTATGTTGTTTCCATGTCCTGGCTATTGTAAATAGTACTGCAATGAATATTGGGGTGCATGTGTCTTTTTGTAAAGTTTATTTATCTTATTTATTCATTTTTGGCTGCATTGGGTCTTTGTTGCTGCGCACAGGCTTTCTCTAGGGCGAGTGGGAGCTATTCTTTTCTGCAGAGCATGGGCTTCTCATTATGGTGGCTTCTCTTGTTGCAGAGCACAGGCTCTAGGAGCACGGGCTTCAGTAGTTGTGGCGTGCAGGCTCGGTAGTTGTGGCACATGAACTTAGTTGCTCCACAGCATGTGGGATCTTCCTGGACCGGGGCACGAACCCGTGTCCCCTGCATTGGCAGGCGGACTCTCAACCACTGTGCCACCAGGGAAGCCCAGAATATGTTTTTTAAAAAGCATTTAAGAAATGATAAACCTTGTACTCATGTTAATTATCTGAGTTACTACCATTAGTGTAACCATTTTAATAGTCAATTCAATTAAATATTCATTAAACAATACAGTTTTCTAGGGCTAAGCATGCGAAGACTACAAAGATTATTAAGATATGCTCCTACCTTGGGATAAGTCCACTAGTTATAGCCCAAGGCAGAATGAAATAAGTACTAAATTATGACAGAACCTACAAGCTTAGAGAAAAGAATTCTGACTTCTACATTTAAGTTTGTATTTTTGGCTCAACTTTTTGTTCAGCTAGCTCTATGTTGGCTTACGTCTACCTACATTAATTTGGTGGATCTGGAAATAAAATGACCTGGTCAGCAAGTTGAACATCTGACCCAAATGGGGTCTGGAGAATAGTCCTTGAACGGTGTCCAAAGGTGGGTGATTTCATCTAGAATGCCAAGATCCTGTAAAAATAACCATGTGATTTGGTTCAGGATCTTTTCAAGAAGCAAAAATAGGAGTGGACTCCGGAAGTCTGCTTTTCTTTTGTTTTATAGTAAATACTCTTTAATTTTCCTCAAATGCACATTTTATTTTGGAGACACTTAGCTCACACGCGTTAGATAGCCCATCTCCCTCTTACCCTGGAGGGAGCACTAAGGGCTAGAAGTTCACAGAGTTAGAGAGTCAAAACCCCTAGGTCCTCACAGAAGACCTATCATCTGATACTGCCTTTCCCTCCTTGGTGCAGCCAGAATTTAACTTAAAATGGAGCCAGGAAATGTCCTTCTGTGTGGTGGTGGCCATGGAGGGAGCCCAGCCCCATGCCTTGTCTTGGAAGCTCCACTCCCCCAGCTTTCTAAAATCCTGCTGCAAACGTTGTTCATCAGGGTCACTATATCACTTCCCCATTAGTGGTGGGGGGGTGACAATGAACAATGACTTGTCACTTTGAGAATATTTTATTAAGGACTTCATTTTACAGAGAAAAATCTAGGGAAGAAAAATGTATCCCCTGAGTAATCAATATGTTTAACAGATGACTATTTTCAAATGTGGGTAACAAAAATTGGGCAGGTAGAGGGATGATGATTCAGGTGGGATGAAAACTGTTCCGGGTAACCAGTTTATTCATGTCTGTCTCTCGTCACCTGTAATATTCTTCTGCTGCACTGGTGGTTCCCCCATTTCAGGGTGTGTAGGAATCACCTGGAAAAGAATGATTTTAAAAATCTGATTCATGTTGCCCTCCTCCACACTGCAAGGCTGAGTCAAAAGGGGAAGAGAAGTGGTTTGTAAATGAATATCATGAATCATCCTCAAAATTCAGGGGCAGTCAGCTCACTTGGAAACAACTACCCTAAGTTATTTTTTCTCATTCAGAATTTGACGTCTGGTTGGAGAAGAATTGGTGGAGGCTGGAAATAAGGTTTTCGGAGGTGTAACTTTATAGAGCTTTCTGTTTAGAAATGTGACAGTCACCTACCGTCTTTATTGTTGTGGTCAGTGCAGCCTGACTGCTGTGTGTGTGTGTGTGTGTGTGTGTGTGTGTGTGCACACGTGTGTGAGAGAGAGAGAGAGAGAGACTCTAA